CCCCCGGCAGGGCCTGTGCAGAGTCTGGGTCCCTGACTGACCCGCTGGCTCCTCACCTGCCACCAGGATGTCCAGGGGGTCACTGGGGGCCGACCACACCTGGGGGGTGTCCCTGTAAAAGCCGTGGCATCTGAACATCCACCTGTGGCTGGGGGTCACGCGACCCATGGGGAGCAGGGCCTGGGTCTGCCCACGGGGGCCTCGCTGTGCATCCAGGTTCCAGGAGGACTTGGGTTCTCCTTCCTTAGTCAGAATGAACCTGTCCAGTCGCTGCCATGAGCCACACTGGAGGGTCACGGTCCCTCCCGAGGTCACCACAGGGCTCGGCAGGGCTGAGAGGGTGGGTTTGCTGTGGGCCCCTAGGAGAGAAGGAGGGAGCTTGTGAAATGGTACTCACACGCCCCTTTCCTCCCCCAGGGCTGGGCTGTGAGAGGGACACACGCCTGAGAGCAGACCCCCTTCCTGAGGGCAGAGCCTGAGGCTGGGACCCCCGAGTGTCCTCTCACCTGTCACCACCATCTCCAGGGGGCCACTGCTCTCTGACCAGCCAGTTGGGCTGAGGTAGTAACAGTGATATCTCCCTGCGTAGTCCTGTGTCATGTGTGGGATGGAGAACTTTCCCTTGTCCCCGGGCTCCAGTGAGGGCTGTCTGTCCCAGGGAGGTGAGCTTCCCTCTTTATACAAATGGAACACTTGGGTCCCCCGGGTCCCCTGACACCAGATGGTCACGGGGCTCCCCCAGGGGATCACAGAGCCTGGCTCAGCCCAGATGGTGGTTTTGGGGAGGGTTCCTGGAAGGACATCAGAGGCTGGGTCACAAGACATCCTCACCCCCAGGTCCCCAGCTCTCAGCCCCCAACCTCCCAGACTCCCCCTCCTTCAGCCCAGAACTCCTGTTCCGCACCCCATTGCCTGGGGGTGGCCCCTTGTCCCCATGAGCAGGAGGGAGGTGGGACACCTGGGGACAGACTCACCTGCCTGCATCTGGGTCCTCAGGCCCACACTCAGCCCTGGAAGAGAGACCCCTGTGAGAGGTTCGCCCTGAATCCTGAGCAGCGCCTCTCCTACCCGTGAGCCTCCTGAGTCCTGGGGTCTCCTGACAGAGCAGCCTGGCTGTGGGGAGGGGTCCGTCCCTGGCTGGGGCTTCCCCTCCCCCTCCTCCATCTCACCGAGGCAGAGCAGGGCCGTGAGTCTGGGGGTCATGGCGTCTCCTTCCTGTGGTCCAGGCGGTGCAGATGGAGGAGACCACGGTGCCCTCAGGA